AAAGAAAGAAAGAAAGAAAGAAAGAAAGAAAGAAAGAAAGAAAGAAAGAAAGAAAGAGAGAGAGAGAGAGAGAGAGAAAGAAAGAAAGAAAGAAAGAAAGAATTGAGGTTAGTTGAGTGTGGTGTATCTGTAATTCCAGCTACTTGGGAGGCCCAGGTGGGAGGATGGCTTGAGCCGGGGATTTCCAGTCTGCAGTGAGCTATGATCACATCACTGCACTCTAGCCTGGGTGACAGAGTGAGACCCCATCTCAAAAAAATAAAAATAAAGAAGTGAGGCTGGGCGCGGTGGCTCACGCCCGTAATCCCAGCACTTTGGGAGGCTGAAGGGGTGGATCACCTGAGGTCAGGAGTTTGAGACCAGCCTGGCCAACATGGTGAAATCCTGTCTCTACTAAAAATGCAAAAATTAGCCAGGTGTGGTGGCGAACGCCTGTAATCCCAGCTACTCCGGAGGCTAAGGCAGGAGAGTTGTTTGAAACTGGGAGGCAGAGATTGCAGTGAGCCGAGATCCTGCCATTGCACTCCAGCCTTAGGGACACAAAAAAACCCCATCTCAAAAAAAAAAAAAAGTGGGTTCTGAGGGCACAACTGGGTCCCCTTTCTCATCCCTAACCAGACTCCAAAAGACACCCCCGCTCCCCTAGAACCCACCTACCCTCTACCCTCTATTCTTGCCCTTGCAGGTCCTGCCCCAGAAGCTGCCGGCACATCCACGCCTGAAATGCGGCGCTCAGTCCTGGTCAGGAACCCAGGCCACAAAGGCCTGAGACCCGTTTATGAAGAGCTTGACTCTGATTCCGAGGACCTAGACCCCAATCCTGAAGATCTGGACCCGGTTTCTGAAGACCCAGAGCCTGATCCTGAAGACCTCAACACTGTCCCGGAAGACGTGGACCCCAGCTATGAAGATCTGGAGCCCGTCTCGGAGGATCTGGACCCCGACGCCGAAGCTCCGGGCTCGGAACCCCAAGATCCCGACCCCATGTCTTCGAGTTTCGACCTCGATCCAGATGTGATTGGCCCCGTACCCCTGATTCTCGATCCTAACAGCGACACCCTCAGCCCCGGCGATCCAAACGTGGACCCCATCTCCCCTGGCCTCACTGCCACCCCCCAGGTCTTGGCCAGCAGCCCCGCGGTGCTCCCCGCCCCCGCCAGCCC